CCCCCGACACACACATACGCACCACTACCACCGAATATTGGCCAATCACGGGACAGAATTCCCATTGTGATGCGATTGGTACGTGATTGTGACATCATGTTGCGTTCATTCCTCTCCTATTTGCACCACCCGATTGTTCGTTTTTCCCCTGGGAACGGGTGAGGAAATTAGCCTTCTCGAATCTGTTAGTGGACGCGACTAGCTAACCCTTCTGTACAATCCTATCCAAGAAACCATAGTGAGGGGGAGGGGTGGGTATGATCTGTTGATATCCTTCGAGAGAACTTCCGACATTCATACACATTAGGGCGTTTAAAAAGATGACACCTGGTGTACTGCTCACCCTGATGGGTTTTTGCCAACCTGGAGAGATAGGTCTTAGTTTATTGTGAGTAGATCGGGAAAGATTACTGGATAAAGTCAATTGGGCAATATGCACGCAGCGACAAAGAGTACAAAAAATGTACAGGGATGGAGAAAACTTTGAGGCTGAAATAACTAACTATTGTGAAAATGACGATGATGTGATCCACCGGAGTAAGATCACAGTTAAACGTTTCACACAAAAACCCTCTGACAAAAAGGACATTAGGAACAGGAAAACCAAGACTAAGTTTTAAACAGCTCATCGTATGTACTGCCTTTATATGGGAGTACAAGAGAACAATATCCTCAGAAATATTCACACAAAAACTGATGATCAGGTCAGTCAGAGACGGGTGATAAATCTGTTTTATATAGTCGAATGAGTGGATTCACTTGGATACCAAAATACATTCTTTTGCATATTTAAAAGTGAGAGAATAGTCATACACACACACACGAGGATGACAGGAGGACACATGAGAGGAAACCCAGAAAGGTGGAAAAATCGCATATTGCAATACACCTTGTTTAGAGGACAAACTCGGGCGATTGTGATTTTTGTACACGAGGATTTTAAAAAAGGATCAATATATATCATCATATAGCGGGTACATTTCCCCCATTTCAATCGCAATCCCCTTCAGAATAACAAAAGCCGGGGTTCTACTGTGACAGGCAATACGGCATCACGGCCTAGAACTGGAGGGCTGAGATGATATGCTCCGCGTGACCATATACTCGGCCTACATCTGCTACATATATCAAGGTAATAAAAGAGACATTCCTTGAAAACCAAAAAATCAATTCTTCACGAATCTCACTACTGGGCTTTACAATTTTCTCGTTTTAGAACATTTTGCTTTTCATCCGGAAGTGAAAGTGGTGGAGTACAAACCGATGAAGGCATCTGTTATAGTTGTCCTCCCCCGCCCGAGTTTTTGAAGAACGCTAATCATTGAATTGGAAGGGGTCGACTGTAATTGCGTCAACACGATTTACAGAGTCAGTGGGTGAAATACAGATCATTAAGCCTAAGGATACTGGTAAGGTCAATAGCGAGGCCGATCAATCACGTGACATCTGATGCGAGTGAGCTGGGGTATGATTTAAGCTTTCATTACAGAATCATTCAAGTGTGAAATGTTACCCATGTGGTAGAGCACCTTGTGATATCTTTAGCTTGAACTGGACACAACGGATGCGTATTTCACAATAGCTATCTCCCCACGATGTTTCAGTAACATAAAAAGGTTATAATGAAATCGGTGGTCCTTAAATTGAGTGCTTCCAGGTTTATTCCGGTCAAGTAAATTGACCATGAGTATCATTGAAATAGTGTAATAAGTCATTTGGTGCTCCACCTACATGACACCACTTTTGTTTGACCGTTTCTCACTTATTGTTTTCTTGTGAAAAATGATGCCTGTATTCGAATCCAGCGATTGTCAAACAGGTTTGCAACTAGGGGCTAATTTGTGATGGATTCCGTTGGGTATTTTACCACCTTTTCAAAGGTCGTTGTTTTGATACTGATATCTTTATCATTAGTGGATTAATCGCTTTTTGGAGAATTTGATAATTTCACGGGTACAGATTGTCAGTGTTTTTATCATGGTGACAGAAGCTGCGAACTGGTCAGAACGATGCATATACCGGTCGAGCATGATCCATTGATGTCAGTGGAAAATAGCATTAAGTTTAGGGTCGGGGGACAGATATAATGAATGTATACAGCCTCATATGCGTATGGTCAAAGACACCAATCACGGGGAGTTGAACCCTTTTAGACTGATGAAGGTGACAACACGATCTCACCCCCTCCCTCGAGTCCGCACTTTAACAGGGGGCTTCACGGTTGGTGTGCTGAGGGTTTGGTGATCAGCGAGACATTACTTTGCCAACCGCTCATTCCGTAAGCCTGGCGATCCCAATGAGATCAAATTCCAAGGGTGAACATCCTGATTTGGTTTCGGAGTAACTTTAAATGACGATTGGACAATTGAACTTATAGAGTTGAAATTTTGACGAGACAATTGAATTTAATAATGGGATGACCGGATTTGAAAAAAAGTTATAGGATTTAGAGTCGGAAAGCCTGACTATTTCTTTCAATAAGAGAGATAAAAACTGATGATGCGCAACAAGGGTTGAACGGGCAGAACAATAAGCAAACTTATCGAGGTTGTCAATACGTGGATGGTAGACTATTCTGTTAACAAGCGAATTTTCAAAGACCCGAATCAACTGAAAAATCGAAGTCAATCATATCTGATCAATGCAGTGTGCAAAGTCATTCATGATGAAGATGTTAACGAAAACGCACGATCAACTTTGCTCTACTTTTCCACGGGGCAGAATAAACGATTTGTTATGTGACTTACAAAGTACTAACGCTTCCGTATTTCGTTGAGCATAGGTATTTAGAAAGGAGAAAAACTGGCACGGTTGACATTCGAGACATCGACCACGACGTCGTTCGTGCTGTAAGCATTCGTAACCTTCTTCCGTGGACAGACGGCCAGTTTGATTCGGATCCATGTGATTTTTGATCAGCTCAATCAATTCGTTCAGTGCACGTTCGACTGAGTTACTTTTGCTGTCCTCGACGTGAAAGGCAGCGATAAACAGGCATGAAGAACAACGAGTGGATTTCAAGTTTTTTTGGTTGTGAAATAACGTCTTAGGGGATATAATACTCTGTGCATGAGATTACAAAATCATTTCACTGAATTTTTGTACAATTTTGACTTCTCCACCGCGGATCAGAATCAGGTTTCTCCAGAACCACTTAAGAGTACTAGGTGCGATTCGATGAACAAACTTCTCATGATCGATTGACTACACGTCTGTAGTTGCTTGTGTTTGCGTTTGTCTATCTCTCATTCAGCTGTTTGCTTGTGATTCACGTGTGACTTTGCCCCTTACAATCCGTGTTTGATCAAGTGCTATGAATCAGGCTATCTCTGTCGCGGATGTAACTAACCAATAGACGGACGAAAAGTGAGAGACATCGTAACTGCTGAGAGGCCGAAACCCACCACAACAGTCACGACAAAGAGATAAAGAAATTACAACAAACTATGAAGACCACAGAAATATACAACTTAGTGGATCGAAAAGTATTATATTTTCATGATGATAAGAGCCAAATCACATGAGTAAACGCCGTTCATCCGTTTCATGCATACGGAGCGAGAAGGAGAGTAAACTGCCGATGGCTCAAGTTGTCCCACGGTAGTAAGTCGTTTTTACGGGGATAAAGGTATACGACCTCGATGGTGAGGTAAAATTCAACAGGAGACTAAACGACATAGACTCACTGAAGGCTCCGGGCGGGGGACACCTAAGATTGAGAGGCAGATGAATACAGAAAGTTCGGATACAGTAGTTTCCACTTCACTTCCCTTAACGGTCTCAAACAGACAGGAATCAGCCATCGCCTGACATATCTCATAACATAAATTGTGCACCAGAATCAGTCTATCGAAAGAAATCGACAGGGGAAGCTTATCCCACACAGTTTGAAAGCACGTGCACCGGTTAGATGAAGAGGAATTTTAAAGAGCGTTGTCGGAAAGCGGAGTATGATTTGCCTGGAATCGATATGTACATATTGAATTATATTATTTTCCCTACTGAAATAGAAATAAAAGAAGAACATTAATGTGATTTAGTTCCTTTTTTTGTTGTTCGCTACCGAGCCTGTTTACAGCATTCGGAATAGTAATCGGAATCGAATAGTAGGAACTCGGATTATGCCTGAAAACCCAAGGAGTAAAGTAAAGTCAGATCGAACAAAGACGAGCTTTAGATAGTCTTGATTGCAATGACAAATAAATATCACACATGTCAAACAATCTGGCTCATTCTCCAATGTTTAATTGACCAAGATATGGTTCGTTTGGTTGCTTTCATACAATCAGCCAGTCCGAGAGATTCAACTTGAGACCACAGGATTGGTCGAGAACTCCGTTTCCTGATTGGTTACCTGGAAGCTATACCGCGGTGCTTACATGCTGGTTTTTACGATCACCACGTTATTCCTAGTTGAATGGTGATTTCGCTAAATATGCGGTCACGGATGATCAGTGGTCATCGCTCCAGATGAGGAGGTTTCCGGCTCGGAAAACAATTTCTGTGTAATGAAAAGCCAAAAATGTTCATAGAAAGCATCGTGACATGCATGGACCCGGATCGCAACTAAATAAAACCGAGACTATTATACTATTGCCTTCCCTGTAGGTAGCACTTGACTGTGCATGAACCAGAGGCATATCCTCAAATAATAAGACGACCCAGTCGTACTAGGTATTACAATTAGCACCAGACATCCAAGATTGCTCATGGTCAGTTCGAACCCCATCACCACCGCCTAATGTTCCCCATTGTGTGTTGAATGGAAGTCCTTTGATTGACCGCTTCCCCCTTCCTGATAATTGTATCATTATTGGGTGAGATTAATTGTGAGTGGAATGGCGGTGGCGGTGGTCATGTTGATGATCAATATGGGGCCAGGGTAAGTGGAGAGAGCTTGAACCAGTCGCTTTTGTGCACATAGGCGATGCCTATTACCTCAGCGGTAGCTAGTGTGTGTAAGCGCACTGTTTAAGAGGGGTTGGGGGCACACGAAAGATTACGCTGAAAGCGGATTCTGATCAAATTTGATGATCTGTATCCACCCCTCCCCTCTTCCCATCCCAAATGACCTTTGGACCCAGCGTGAAAATGTGTCCCCGCTAACAAAAACCCTTATGTGATCTGTACAGGCACTATTATGAAACATTTGAAAACAATCGTTCGCCTTTGGACTTGTGTTCTCATGTTACAATGGGATTATTTTGGAATTGTATCATTGTATTCAATAAAAGGAAGTAAAATGAAAAAGAAGAAAGAAATGGATTAATCCACGAAACACAATTGTGTTCAAGTATGAGGTATATGCCTAAAATTGCAGAAGATTACCCAGGATATTGTGGCCATCGAAGCCTCAGAGATAACGTGAATCAAGGAGCTAAGCGCGACAGTTTTTGAACAACGAACCACAGGTAGATCGACCAATCAGAAACAATGCGATGAAGAAAATACAAGCAGACTATTGGTGAAGTTCCATTTAACAAATGACATTTCTTTGTGCATATTATATAATCCCGTTTATTTATTGCAATAAACTAACCGCTTCTTTCGTGGCCTTCCTCCTGTGTCTCGGCTACAGGAGATTTTGTCATACGATTACCTTGTTTCGCTTGCAATTCCGATTCGTGGTTCGTGATTCATAATTCTTAGCTCTTATCTACTGCGATTACCACAGGTATCCCGTCATACCGGAGAACAGATGATACACGATATCGAAGATTGCATGGATCGCTGCTAATCTGCCCAAGAATCCAGAATCATATTCAGCGCGCATGGCATTTTGAGTTGTTGTACTGATTGATTTATTAACCGTTGTTGAGGTATTCACCATTTGTCTCTTGAAATTTGAATTACGCGTGTTTCGGGCTTGTTGATATTTTGAACAGGAAACCGAATAAGTTACAATTGCCAACCACTTACGAACTCCATTTCTCCACGCCACACAAATGGATTCCTATTGGTCTGCCCAGACTGATATGGACTTAGTGCATGATTTGTAAATATTTATACCTATCGTCAAGCTGCATTGAATCGCATCCTGAACGATCTGGTCACTGCGATTGAAGGTAACACAGACGGATTTCCTTCAAAATGTATGCCATGGTCTGCGGTTTCCCTAAACATATCACGGTAAGTATCGCTTACTAGTCACCAATGGATTGTTTTGCCCAGGGAGATGCAAATGTTATTTAAAGGAACGAACCGAATTCGACCTGGAATTTAAAGTTTAATCTGCTTGAATAGTGTGGTAAACAATTGCACGTGCATATTATTTGGGTAAAAACATGGGGACTGGCATTTTGTAGATGTTGCCGATTGTCTACGTAGAAGTTTGGGTGTTAAATATACGTTGAAATATTCGTTTGTATGTTTAATAAATAAACTAACACAGATGCAATCAATTTTTTTCATGTCACGCACCTGGCCAGATGTTTTGTTGCTGTGTATACCGTGTCCTCTGTGATTTTCAGGAACGCTGCCAATGTGACCTGTCCGTTTTCCGGTAGATCACACAAACTAGTGTGGGCCATTTCGTCGAGTACCTCGTCAATGCGACACTGGAGAATGTCTGAGGCACGTTTCGTTATTAGTCGCAATGCGTCCAGCTCGTCTCTGACTTTGGTCATGTCTACACAGTTGGGTTCAGAAGAGATTGTAATGAATGGATGAGCGGGGGTGGGGGGGGGGAGGGAGGAGAGGAGGAAGCAAAATGATTTGTGTGACGAGAAGCTGGAAATGGCAACATATTGCCCAATATTCGGAATGTGCGCTGTACTATCACCACATGTCAAGCCTTTTTAGATCACTCTATTGAACCGATGTACGTTTGAATTGAATCTCACTATCTACTATGACAAATGAACCTACCAGAGCTACAGTTTTAGAAGATCTTGGTCATTGCTGTAACAAATCGATAGCCTGCATTTTAAATGTGACTACTGAGGGTGAATTCAGACAAAGTCAGACTCAGGAAGACCGAGGTACAGTCCTCGCCACACAGAAGGCTGTCTTTTTGCTTCAACGTTTCAGTTTCCCGGAAAATTTTAGACCGCTCTTGCTTTCATTTACGTGATTATTCGATCAGTGGACAAATTGTTTAGTGAATAGATTCAGGTAAACTATGGATAGTGGCTCACCGCTGTCATAACAGTTCACAAAATATCACGTCGAGTAGCACCGCATACCATCATTATGCATTCATCGCTTTTCTTAAAATTGTCGTTGCGCAAATGTCGGTTGGTCGGTCGTTCTTGCCGTTTCCATTCCATTCCCAGACTCGGTTTGCTTCGAAATCTTTTATTCATTGGCGATCTCACAATTTCCTGATTTATCGTAGTTGCTACATCTTCAAATTTAATATTTGTCGGTATCACAAGACGTATCTCTCACATCATCTATTGTCATTCCCCGCACCGTGTGCACCGAACGGTTAAATCTGTGCCCGAGTTGCCTTCTCCACATGAAACGGGACTGGTGGCTTTTAATGGTCCAATGAAGAGTGACAATGCAACTCCCTAGGACAGGTGATTCACATACACATGAACTCAGGATCGTGACTACCGTAGTGTGCGCGTATACATTTAACCTCGTTTTCCCCTCGATTTCAAAAGGGATCACCCACACATCTCAATATCACTGTCGGGCGTTATTCTGTTCGTTTACCCGAATAGTTTTCCACACGGAACATCACTCACTATAGTCAAAGGACACAACACGATTTGATGTTTGCAAATTTCCTCGAGCTGAAGTAGGTGATTAAAGTCTACCCTGGCACTATGACGTTCTCGAAATTTTACCAGTTACAAATCCCTTCTTCAGGGTTTCAATTTTCAATAGACTGAAAAGCTTAACATGAACGAAGATCAGTTGTTAGTGAGGCGTAAACTGCTAACAACGTGATGATCTTATAATCAATTATTTCAATAAAAGAGATCCAACGCGAAGATGAACATGACATGGCGCGATCGACATCCAAGTATTTGAAAAATGGTATCCCTTTCTAGATATTATAATTAAGGTAATCTACTTTAAACGAAGGATGCTAGCGAAAAAAAACACTTTGAACCAATGCAAAGAAATCAGTGGTAATTAGAGGCATGCAAAACCTTGAAATTTGATGAAATTATTGATTCTGGTGGTATCGGGTAAACCAATGACCGTGTATTTAGCAACCGAATCAATAGTTCGATTAATCCTTGTCAAATGGATGAGACTAATTAGGATGACTAGATTCATGCACAGAAAAGCTGTCTGCACTCAAATTCCAAACACAGACTCAACTCACATTCTTCCACGCTGGTCGTACTCCAGGTGAGGATGCTCAATCCCGGACTTAAGGCATGTTGTACACGGTCTGTGAATGTTTTAAACAATGGAATAAGTAGGGTAGGGATTTCTGCTTCGCTCTCCTCAATTTCGGCAATCAGTTCTTTCAATCTGTAAGTAGTAAGCAGTGGACAAAGGATAGTGTTATTGCTTTATTTACTGAATAACAGTGAATTAGTTTGACCAGAAGCATGAACACTGATATTTCTGCACTGGTAATCATCTCTGAGAGTAATACCCAAAGCTTCGTCAGTATCTCTCTCTCTCTCTCACACACCTTTGGTTCGTGTGTATGCGTGTATAAGTGGTGGTAAAGCTGTGCATACTTTCGGCAACCCAGATCAGTGAACAGTTTCAGATGGTTTGGTAGATTAATCAGTTTTTGCCTCTACTCCTATGCTCCCCAATAGTTAGTTCTCATACATCTCTTTCGTTATTCACTTTCGCACGGCAGGGGTTTATTGGCAAAAGTAATCAGCGTAGAACAAACTCCATACGACAGTGTGGTATCATTTTGATGAAAAAAGAGGGAGGAAGTAAAATATCTCGAGCAAAGATACATCGATCTTATCTCTACTGTTACGTACAGTGATGTTACTCAAGCATGATTCATTCAATGCATTGGGGTGAGGCTAGTTGTCGGCTAAAAGATAGACAACAGTGAAGATCAGTCACCTTTGTGGATTCCAAAGACGGCGAGTAGTGTAGAGAGATGGAGATGCGGCTATTGGTGAGAGCCACACACTTTTCCGTCTAATTAGGAATATGTGCCCTAGGAAAATAGGTGTAAGTGCGATAATTAAAGAATCCAATGACACACTGATTCACCATCAACAATGCCGTCTTGATCGATGGGCTGAACATTTCGAGGCTAATTTCAACTGGCCCCCATCGACATCTGACTTATCACCCTCCGCCACCTCGACTGAGCAAATACCCCCACTTGATACCAGTCCTGCATCTGAAATGGAGGTTCACCGGGAAATACGTTATCTCAAAACACATAAGTCCTCCGACCCAGACGAATTGCCCCATAGGGTTTTGAGGATGGAGGTTCAGTGTTGATCTTACAGGTGACGAAATTCCTGCATTGCTCGAGTCTGTTGGGGCCCACCGGATCGCGGTCGCCCACTGAAGCAAGTGGTCGACCACCATAGATTACGTTAGTTGGAGCATGTGTTACGCATGACATCAAACAGGTTGCCTCAGAGTGCGATTTTTGCCGAGGCAGGTAGTGCGTGGAAACAGCAAAGGATCATCAAAATAAGACCTAGAATTATGGTATTAAGGCCCCAACTAGGAGACTCGGTCATATAGTTTGCATTAGGCTCCCCGGGTGGGGACCTCGGGATCATTGCTATCAATGGTTAGAGACACTGAGTGATATGGCTAAGTGTCGTAAACAGTAACGCTCTGGTATCTTCCAAATTTCTTTGCAACTTTAGTCGGCT